ACTTACAACCTCTTCCCACGCACCAGTTCTTACAGTGGAGGCCTCACCTCAGCAAAAGGGCCCGCTTCTCCAGCAGCTAGAGCCCGGCTGTTGTCCACACTGAGTTTTGCCAAGGACTTCAGGTAAATACCACAGGAGCCACAGAATCGGGCAGATGGGTGATTGTTGGCCCCACATTTGAGGCAAACAGAGAAGCAGGTAGCAACGACAGGCTAGAGGACAGAAAATACTTTTATAATTTCATTTATATTAGGGTCATACTTTTCCCATATAAATTATTTCCATGTCAGTCACCAAAATAATACATGCCCATACCCTCCATCCTTGCAATTCTATCTTTTAGAATAAATGTGTATTTTATCCTATGGATGGACAAGTACACAAAGAAGTGTATTCAAGACCATTCCCTGAAGGATTGTGATTTTGGAGAAAATAACTGGAAACAACCTAAATGTCCAGCAATAGAGTATGGCCTAACTATATCATGGTACATACTGACAGTGGAATATTATGAAACTGCTGAAAAGAATGAGGAGGTTACTAACTAGATGTATTGCTAGGTGCAATATATCTAAATTACCACCAGTTTACTTACTTATGCATTGAATGGCTGAAAGAACAGCTCACATACTGGGTAACAAAGATTGCTTCTAGGGAGAGGAGCTGTGGGACTGGGATGAGAAGAAAGACTAACCTTCACTAAATCTTTTGTATTATTTACATGAAACACTCAGATAAATAATTTTGAGTGCTTTATTTAAAAGGTAAGCAGATAATTCATAAAAGAAAAAATATCAACAGTCAACAAATGAGTGAAAAAGTTTAATCTCAAAGAAATACAAATTAAAACAGCAATGAGAGACCATTCTCAATTTAAGAGAATTAATCATCCTGGTCTCCAGATTCTTAGGTAGGTACTAGGACCCAAATCCCAAGGTGTGATTTCAGCAATGTTGTGGAAGAGGGGGAGCCTGACTCTTTCTAGGATTGGGGTGAGGGGCTCTGCACCAAGAAGCTCAGTGTTAAAATACCCACCGTGGCTCCACACCAGTCACAGAAGAAAGCACCTGGCCGGTTCTGACGACCGCATTTGGAGCAGGAAATGGTCTCCCCTTTCAGAGTGGGCGCAGGACCAGCTTTATCTCCACTGCACATGGACTAGTGAACACAATGGCATTGACAGGCAGATTAATACTATCTTCTCCAATCCCCCTCCCATAGAAAAGAAAAAAGCCCCAAATCAACACCAGGCCTGGAAATAAGGTATTTCCGCCCAAAAGAGAAAAACTATCCTAAGCTTCACCAATTAATAAATTAGTACAAAGAGCATGCATTCCTTCACAGAGAGTTGATGGAACTGCTGCCTTACACAACTTAATATTCTTCAGTATCTTTAATAGCAGAGGCAGCAAGCCTACTGTTGATTTACTATACCAACATTAACAAAAAAAGAGTGTAAGGACAGCTGAACTACCTAAGGTGTCACCATTGAAGTTTATCTTCTTTCATTTGGAGTTCTGGTTTCGATCTGGAAATGTGAATTTATTTTCCCCTCCTGACACATGTAAAGAATTACTTTGGGAAGGGAGATAGAATTGTTTCATAAGAATTTCTGAGACTTTGATAGGTAGACCTATATTAGAATCTTTTCTCCTACTACTTACTTGCATTGCCTAGTAAAAGGTTTTCTCATCAAACAACTAAAGATGATATTCTTCATCGCTGCTACATAGTTACCTACTACATGCAGGCACTTCTGCGCACTGCCCCTATACCCTCACATCAGTTCACACAACCGACCTATGAGGCGGATGCCATAATCATCTCTGTTTTACAGAAAGGGAAACTGATGCAGAGATAGGGTAAGACCTAAGATTTGAACCCAGGCCCTGACTTTTACCCATGACTCCACAAATCCTTTTCAATACAACAGTTTTCTCACAGGTCTGTAGGGGGATCCCCGATGACTAGTGAAAATTAAAGATGTAAAAACAGTTAGCACAGGGTCAAGCTCCCTAGATCAGCTTCCTTCCCTTCTCATCTTTCTTTCCACTAGATCCTGATTTCTTTAAGGAAAAGGACTACCATTTCACATTTTTTCCCTACCAGCATAGTGCCTGGTACCTTAGCACATGGGAATCATTTAAGTAGTTACTAAATGAAGGAATAAATCAATGAATAATTGATTCAATCAATAACTAAACATGGTATGGTCATACCTTCCATGTATACTACTACTAAGAATGCGTACACTAGGGAAAATGCTTTCTAAGGGCATTTTTTCCTCAAACATCATTATTTCAGTTAACTTTATTTGCCCAGCTCTAGCCTGTTTTACTTTGGGGACTGTTCTGTTATCCTAAAACAGACAGAGGCCACAGCAGCCCCCAACATCCAGAGACTGAGCAGGAAGATCTGCTTTGTGTACACTGGCCCTCAGCCCATTTCTGTGAAGTAGAGGGAGATGCCTTGAGACAAATCGAAATAGAAACCCTTTGCACACTTTTGCTTCAGACTTAAGTTTCAATTTATCCTGTTAAAAGAGGGTTTTGATAAAACTTGCCGACCTGGGTTTCTAAATATAAAGCCTTCAGATCTTTTGCTTAAATACCTCTACTATTTAAGTGAATTTTCAAAATATATGTTTTTATTGATTTTAGAGAGAGAGAGGGAGGAAGAGAAAAGAGAGAGAAAAATATCAATATGAGAGAAAAATATGTATCATGCCCTGGAATCGAACCGGTGACCCTTTTGGTAAATGGGACCACGATCAACCAACCCAGCCACACCAGACAGGACAAGTGAATTTTTAAAAATATAACATTGCTTTAAAAAAAGAAAAGTAATCTTACCACATTCAAATTAATGCTGCTAAACAAAGAAAAGGCATACAGCTATTAGATTGAACATGCACTGTTCCTTTAATGGCATTTCAATGATAAATACTCTCATTCGGACATCGAAACTCTGATATACTATTCAAATAGAAATACAACTTTGAAAACAAACTCAATTTTGTAATTGTTCATGAAATAGTTTTGTTGATAAGTGAGACCCAGAAACAACTACATCACTGACAAATCAATTTATTTTACTATTTATATAAGAAGTCTAAGATGCCTGAGAAAATAAATTTTTGTCTGGCAATTTACTTCAATCTATCTGCAAGATCACCCCAAGAATTCCAAAGAACTAGTTCTCTTTGTTTATGCTTTTCCAATCTCACTATCTTTCTCTCTGGTGCCTTGGAAAATTATAAAGTGCAATTTCATTATGGGAGAGTGACATACAGTCTGAAAACAAGTTAATTTAGAGAGAGAAACAAATATCAGTTAACAAAATCCTACCCTAAAATTGCATCTGATTTTATTTCGGAATAGGTGGGTTTTCTTATTAAATTTGTGAGCTCATTAGCATGTTTTTAGTCTCAGTTCTGAAAACACACACACACACACACACACACATTATAAAGTCATCTTTGAAAAAAACTATATATTTTCCTTCTGGTAATGATGGCGCAAGACCATACCAAATGACTCCACACAGAAAAGGACTCTAAAATCTGCTCTTAATGCAAATATAGGCACTGGAGAATGAACAGAAGCAGATGGACTCTTGCAGCAAGTACCCACAGGAGGGAAGGGGGTTACACAAAGTTAGTTTCCTTTTAGCCTGGTGCTAAGGACAGTCCACCTAGTGCATGTAAAAAGGTAGGAAATGTATTTCTAGGTAGGAAAATCAAAAGCCTGAAGCAGAGTAATATTTGGCTACTGAAGAGGTAGGGGGCTCTCAGAAAGAAGACAGAGAAGAGATCCCCAAATTCTGTGTACTCACATCTCTTACTGACCTGTGAACACACATGCACAGAACACTCAGTGCATGCAGCTCAGCTAAAGATGAAATATATAAACAAAGACCAAACTTTCTGCTCCTCTCTCTTTCCCAAATAAAGCATATTTATTGGATTTTTAGTATCTTTTTTTTTATTTAAATCTTTATTGTTCAGATTATTACGTTTGTTCCTCTTTTTTCCCCCCATAACTCCCCTCCTCCCAGTTCCCGCCCCAC